CTGAATCCAACCGTGTAAAGATCATAAAAATCGAATCACTGGATGCGGAGTTCGTTAATTTTGAATTTTAATATTATTGTTTACTATAAAATCATATGACTATGACATAATTTCAACCATTTTGACTTTTGGAGGGTTCAAGTCGAAATCATTTTGACCATTTCAACCATTTCGGAGGTCAAAATTAACCAATTTCAGTTTCATGTATACTACATACCTCCAATTTTTAAGAGATTTACTGATCAGATTTTAATGAAATTTATATCATTGGATTTGTCTTGATGCAAGGAATTTAATGGCAGTGAAACTATATTCCCAACATTAATATTGACTAAGTTATTATAAAAAATGTATTTTATAATATATATTATTAAATAACATATATAAAGCAAGCAATAATTGGTTACTTTTAATATAAAAAGTTTTTAAAATATATTTATTCAATATATTATTTTATATTTTTTATTACAATTTAACTTTGAATTAACTTAAACCTATCTATTAATTCATCAAAAAAAGTTTGATTATTTATTTCTAATATATAATTTGATAGATATTATTATTATTGCATAAATATTTAATAAAATAATATTTACAAACCAGGAATTAATTAACTGTTAATCTAAAAAAACAATATCAAATATCATCAAAATTATTAATTCAAATAAAATAATCAATATATTACTGAATACTAACTGCTAACATATTACTTTTAAATAATATATAGTATAAAAAATACATTTTTTATAATAAATCAGTCAATATTAATTTTAGAAATACAATTTCACTACCATTTAATACAAATCCAAAGATATAAATTTCATTAAAATCTGATCGGTAAATCTCTTAAAAATTGGGGTTTGTAGGATAAGAATTTAAACCTTTATAATTTGTAATTCCGGCCAGTTTTAAAATATAAACTTCGTAAATCTGTTCGAGATCTTAATTTTGCTTATATTCTGGTAATGGATGCAATGCTGGCCAGAATTATATGATCAGCGTAAAAATATCCTTTTTTGGAATACTTGTGAATCCAAAATCTCCAATTTTTGCGGGAAGTAAAATTTCCTTTTTTGGAAATCTGTATAATGTCACGTGATTAGTGACCAATGAGATTATTTGGGATTTGGTATATGTGTGACTGATCCTTGTCTGACATCGAAATTACTGTACAAAAACTGGTTCTAGTTTTACACAACACAGATGTCTACACGAAATTTTTCAGCGATGTTATTCTTTGATCAGTCAGAAGAATGGAGTCTCTTGAACTTTATAAAGTACCTTGATTCGATAGAAAGTTTGCGCGACAGCTCTGAGCCACACCGCAAATATGGAATAATTCTAAATGGAATTAAGAATGATGAAAATGAGTCGCAGAAAAAAAGGGAAAGAGCTGAACAAGCACTGTCAACATACGAGGGAAGTTAAATTTTTTTTTATTGCTCTTATATATATTGCTTAGAGAAAAGTGTTTGGTCGAGTCTGATAATCCCGCCATCGAGTTGGTGGGTACACTGGTGCTAGGTCGAGTCCGAAATACCGCCGTCGAGTCGAAAGGTGCACCTTTTTGCTTAAAAATAAACACTGGATAAATCTGTGACTGGATATAAATAGTAAGACTAATTATAATTATTATCTCTTATTTTTTAGGATGAAAAGCGTTCTTCAGAGATCCAAGAATTTTGGCAACAGAAAAAACTTCAAATTTCACTTAAGGAAAAGACTATAAAAAGCACTGAAAGAATGATCAGCCATATTAATACAATACAGGATGAAGCAAGCGATATTTTAGTTCTTAGCAAGAGGGATAATCTAAGACGATTAAAATCAGGTATTTGTTGTTAAATTTACAGCTCCTCATTATTTTCCTTTGTTGACTCAGTTGATTTTTTTTACGTTAAATAGATCTTGGAGTTGGAGATAATATTGAAAATGGTGGACTTACGAAATCCCCTTATGAAGACCAAGAGGTATTTTTTTAGCTGAAAATAATTATCCGATAGAAACTAACTCCTTCTTTTGCATTTAGTCTGATGATGATTTCATGCCTGCCCGTCAACCAAAGCGAAAAAAGCCGTTATCTCTTTCGAAAAAGGTTAGGATATTGATAAGACCTTATGTCGCCCTGAATTTTATACAATAATTTTTAATGATTTATTATATCTACAGAATAAAGAGTCGGTTGGCTCAACTAAGAAAGTCAGTATTAAATGCATCCCTATGATTATAAGGATTTGTTACCGTGAATTCTTCTCAAAATTTTCTATTTTTTTTTTGCGTAAACAGGCCAAAACCATGAAAGACACGCTATCCTCATTACACAGAGTACCAAAACCATCGTCATCAGCAGGAGTGACAAAACCATTTTCATCAAGCTTAGAAAGCGCAATTAATAGTCCCGAACCACGTACTCCGCCTCATCGAATTTTTTCGTATAGTACTTCATCAGGTTCTTCCGTATGTAAAGAACATGGTTCTAAAGATGACACTTCTGAAGATGATCTCCTAATAAAATCCCCTGTTGATATCACCGTCGATTGTAAGCTAATTGTCAAGAATATGTGTGTTAGATCAAAAATGGAGCAATGGCATCGCTCACCGCCTCCGTCAAAGAAAATCAGACAGAAAAACATTACATAATTAAGTTTGTTTTTCATATCTTTACCATGCTATTGAAGATCAGTTGTTTTTGGACTGGTTTAAGTCAAATTTAGTGCATTGAGTAATTACTATTATTATTAACTTTATTGCTTGCTTGTGTTTCAACAGGGGTGAATCAACCTTGCAATGCTCTGCTGATCAGCTGAACCAATCATTAAGAGACGATGATCGATGATGTACCGGAAATAAATTGACGCAATTATATCAATGATTTGGAGGTATCAACTTTGGAAGTTTCAGAATTTCCATCATGTCCTGACCATACCCACTATGTTGGGGATAGAAATAAAACTGCCAAGATGCTAAAGATCATACTGAACTTTATTAAAGTCAACTATCCAGGCGATTTCGGAGAGTTTAGAAGAATAAAAGTATACGGCGTTCAAATATATGGTAAGTTCTATGGCTGGATCAATATTTCCATTATAAGTAAATTCTAATTTTCTTCATAAATCCATACAGATCATGACTTTTATATTTACAGCATGTGTATGCCCTTTGCTGGTGTATATTATTTTAAACTCGAAAAAAAGTTTTCTTATTCAACAATACCAGCTTTGCTCTTCAAAGAGTTACTAAATTTCACCTCAAACTTGTAGACGATGCGAGTAAGTTTTTGCATGAAATGTTTAAATACATATAAAGATATTGATTGATGTAATGTTATTCTTGAAAATTAGGATATGATTATTTCGAGTACTAAGAGTGTAATGTCTTATATTACAAATCCTATTTCCGAATCAAGTAATGATGCTAAGATCGATAAAGTGAAAACTTCTCCTAGAAAAAAGAATAATAATTAGGTTAAACTGGTTAAATCGGTGGATTGGTCAAAAAAATTATGTATATCTACTGTATCTACGTGTTTATCTCGTATTCTTTAACATAATATAGTAATGTAAATTGCATGTAGTTCGTATGCTATTAATTATATAATCCATATAATATTTTTGCTTGAAGTAAAAAATTTGTTTGTTTGGCTAATGCGTGTATGCTACATGTGAAATAATACATGCCTGTATAGAAAATTTTCTTTATTGGTGTTTCAGAAATCAGAACAGAATGTGCACATGATTTTTTTTTATGTATATGGAATATAATATAACATGAGAATAAATGCAAAAGGGCAGAAACGAACCCTACTCATCCAATTTTAAGGCGTGTTCCATCCTAATCTATTAGCGAGAGGATCATCAATTGGCTTAGTGAAATCAAAAACTACGAAATTCTGATCTCGCAAATGTTTGTCAATAATCTTAGATGCTTTTTTTGGATCGTCTGTATATTGACGCATGATTCTTCTCAAGATTCACTTCCTCGGAATATAACTAGATGTGAGATATTTTCACGAATTATCTTTTGTACAGCTTGATATTTTTGGGTCACATATATTGATGAAATATTTTGATGCCGACCACTAATGAAATAGGGAATAATTCGATCTAGAGTCTTTTTTGATTCAGCACAAAGATCTTTGAATACAACAACTGTACTTCAGCACTTTGGCCTGGGGAGAATTTAGTTATATTGGGAATCTTATCAGGTGTTATTCTTTTAAATGTGACATCCTCTCGATATGGTTTTGGGCTATTCATAAAAATCTGAAAGCTGGTTTGTACTAGTTGCCACTTTGGCTCAGAGTGCTTTCCTACCAATATAAGGTTATCATTCCTAATATACCACTCCCCCTTTTTTCCTTTAAATATGCGCTGAAGTTTATTACCAAGCATAAGATTTACAACCATATTTGTCTTTCCGCTATGAGACCCTCCACAGACTAGGAGGCGAAAAGGCCAATCCGGTGCAAATCCGTTAGATTTCATATGCTTCAAAGATTCTTTGGATATCTCATCAATGGCGTATACATATATAGGTATACTCTTCTCTTTCATTCTAATTAAGCTAAGTAACACTAAATTATTATATTGAAAAAAGAATTTTAGTGAAACAAACATTTAAAGTTTTATTTTATTCTATAAGACCCAATTCTCGAAAATGCTTTGAAATAACTATGTATGGGTCTTCGTAATATCAGACATACCTTAGAACAATCTGATTTTCTTCACATAATTCTTTCTTGAGCTGATCCCATTCTTGCTGTTTGATAAAATTATTGGGATCATCTTTATAAAAGAATTTTATATATTTCCCATGTTGTTTTCCTTGCACTTCAACTGCAAAACCATGGTGGTAATAAGGAATATCAAGTTCCAATCCTCTTAGATGCTCTAATGTTTTTAGAAAATCAGGTTTACGATTTTTTGAGGGTGGTCTAAAGATGCATGTCGTAAATAAAGAATTTTGACATGTCAAAAATGTCGAAAAAAAATAAACAATTCGTCAATACAAATCAAAATGGTAAAAAGCCAAAATAAATTCGTCAAGTCAAAATTGGTGAAATTGTCGAAATAATGATTGGCTGTAGATCATCATTTTTTTGTGATGTAATGATATGGCTGGCAAAATTGAATATAAATAAACACGTCATAAAATCAAAAAAAAAAATATTTTCTTCTTGATTTCACATGAAATATTATCAAGTATTTTTTTGTTTGAATATGTCAAAAACACCTTCCGCTATTCTCAATAATTCAAAGATTTATGGAAAAAAAGCCTTTTTACCTGAAAATTCAGTTTCAACAGCGCTTTCACATATTTGGACAGTAACAAATAAAAAAATTGATTCGTTGTTTTTGAACAAGATAAAGTGAGAATAATATTTAAGAAGAATGAAGGTCGCACGTATATTGACTTGCAAGAGTTGTCATCAAGTTTTACGTTCATCAATAAGGTATAAGATTTCCTCATTTTTGGACAATTTTGTCCACTTTTTTTCATTTTGGATAATTTTGTCCACTTTTTTATCAGGTTTGGACAATTTTGTCCACTTTTTTATTGGATTTGGTCACTTTTTACGGGTTTAGACAATTTTGTCCAATTTTTTTCGTTCTTGGTTATTCATTTCTATCCACTTTTTTTCATTTCTGGACAATTTTATCTACTTTTTTGTTGGATTTGGTCACTTTTCTACAGGTTTGGACATTTTTGTCCACTTTTTTCGTTCTTAATCATTCATCTCTGATCTCTGTCCACTTTTTTTTTCATTTCTGGACAACTTTGTCCACTTTTTTTCGTTCTTGGTCATTCATCTCTGTCCGCTTTTTTTCATTTCTTGACAACTTTATCCACTTTTTTATTGGATTTGATCACTTTTTTACAGGTTTGGACAATTTTGTTCACTTTTTTTTGTTGTTGGTCATTCATCTCTATCCACTTTTTTTTTCATTTCTGGACAACTTTGTCCACTTTTTTTTTATTTTTGAACAATTTTGTCCATTTTTCCCTTGGTATTAGAACAATTACATTTTTTCTGAATAAAATATTTTATTTTTTTAGGATAGTTTGACTGAATTCGAAAATTACAAGAATCTATATGAATTATACAAAAGTAAATATGATTCAGTATTGAATAATAATGCTAAATTACAGGTAAATATAAGTAAATTATAAAAATGATGTTTGGTTTTTAATTTATAAAATTTATATCTTACTTTTTTTATTACTTAATTTTTAATAATAGAACGAATTGCAAAAGTACTTTAATCTTGGATTAGTAACGCCAGAAAATACGCGTCCAGTTAGTGTTAGTACAGCTGATACTATAATTTCAGATATGGATGAACCATTAAAACAATTGTTACAATATTTAACACTTGAACATTTACCTAAATCCACAACATCAACTCCCTACTCAACATTATATCACGAAATTAATGACTCAAAACTTGCCCGTGCTCTGAACTGTGATTTAGCTTTAAATCACCTCACAACTCTTGATACACCATCAAAAATTTGGTCAAATCTAAATAATCGTTGCATTGAAAAATTTGGCGGCCAAAATTGCATAAAAAATAACGCTATGTATCATTTCAAATATAACATGGGCCAAAACAACATTGTCAGGTTACCGCAACTGGAACATGATGTGAAATTATTATGATGATATTGATAAATAGATAGTAAAAATTAATAACTTCTGTAAGTAAAATTTATCAAATAAAATTGTTCTTGATTACAAAATAATTATTCACATCTAAATTTTATAGGTTTTGTTGAAGATGAGGTTAATGATTCTTAGCCTATAAGTGAAGAATCAATTTTTTTATAAAGGGTGCATTTACAGAATACATATATATATAAACCGTGTATTTAGCATTAAAGCCCAAGTTGGGACTAGATAAAAAGTGCATTTATAGAGGGTATGCATTTATAGAGAGTGCATTTATAGAGAGTTGACTGTAATATAGTAATTTTATATTAAAAATAATACACTGAGTTTAATAAAAATTAAAAAGATACTATTGACAGATAATTAATAAAACATTGAAAAAAAAAAATGAAATTTCATCAAAAAAAAATTTTTGTTTATGTATTTACAGTATATAAAATTGTGAAATATAGTACAAAATTAGTAACACTCACCATTAGTGAAAATAAAATAAAAATTAATTATAAATTCAATATATAATATTTTAAAAAGTTATATAAATATGAAAAATAAGCAACTAAAAACTCTTAGTATTTTAAAATAATACCAAAAATATGCAATTTAATTATCTTACATATTATAAAATTTTCTTAAAATTAAGCATTATAAAATTCTTACATCATAAAACTTTACTATGTTGGCTAAGCACCTTGGTACCTTACATATATAAGCATTTTCTGGGATCCTATGGTAATATAAATAACAATAGTAAAGATAAAAAAAAAGAGACTTATTAATAAATTAAGCTCTACTATAATATTATTAATGAATGGCTTAATTCTTTAAGAAAAATAAAGAAATAAATATTAGTGGTATAAATTTAAATTTTAACAATAATACAGTACTGGTAACTAAAGAAAAGGGCACTTTAATTTTGCACTTGTATTCAGATGATGAAGGATGTCAGAAGCCTAAATATCAAGCTCAATTAAGGTTACCTGCTTAAACCTCTCCAAAATTCTACGATTAGTTTCTCCAAGATTTTACCATAATTTTATTATAGTTTCGGCAAGGTTTCAGCAGTTTCAGCAGTTTCAGCAGTTTAGCATTTATAATAAGTTTTGTCAGGTTTCGCTTTTCTTTAGAGTTTCATCAACTTTTAATAAGACTTTTATATAGTTTCAGCAAAGTTTCACCATTTCAGCATTTCGCCAATTTGCCAAAACCCCCTAGTTTTTTCAGCAACCTTAAGCTCAATATTGCATGAGAAATAAAGAACCATATGTTTATATTCAATTATTAGATGAAGGTAATTGATTACCAAATAATGAAAAGAGCCAGAAGTTTAAATATTAAGCTCAATTAGAGTTCCGAAAATAACTTGCATAAATTCGTATTTTTGACTCGCATAATTGTAAATTTCCATTTAATTATATTCTAACTTAATAAAAAGTACTTTAAAATTAAGGTTTTTGACTTGTGACTCAACTCAACTCAACTCATTATTAGGAGCTCTAGGCTCAATATAGAAAGGGTAAAAAGAGACTTTATGAAAGAAAATTGTTACCTGTTAAAGAAAATCTGAGATTATCTGAGAGACCGCCTAAGGGACTATCTGAGAAACTACCTGATGAAGAAAATCTGGGACCTGTCAAAGAAAATCCAGGATTTGAAAAATTTGAAGAAGGATCATTAGACAACAAAAGTGATGGAAAAATCATAAAAAGAATAAAAAAAAGTATAATCTTAATGACAAAACTGTAAATCTTAATAAAGATCTACACAATTTATTTATAAATTGCCAATTTGTTCTCCAATTTGTGATAAAAAGATTTTCTTCTGAAATGAATTGTACAGACAAATCATTATAAATCATCTAATAAATGATTCAGAATTTTCATTTTTAAAAGGCTTCTAACAAATTGACAACTTTGCGAATAATTTAATTTTAACAGATATTACTATACATGAAGTCAAAATTAAAGCCCAAAAGTAGAAATATTTCAAAATTAAAAGTCAAAATGGTTAAAATTACATTATAGTTATGTGATTTTTATAATTATAATTTAATATAAAATTTTAAACGTGAATAACTCTGTTAATATTGATGCTACAGATACAAAATATATATCATTGGAATCCTCTTGATGAGCTAAATCCAACCGCATAAAGATCATAAAAATTCGAATCACCGGATGCAGAGATTGTTAACTTTGAATTTTAAAATTATTGTTTACTATAAAAATTAAGACTATTTAATACCAAATTTTAAATGTAAATAACTCCTTCAATATTGATGCTACAAATATGAAATATATATCATTGGAATCCTTTTGATGAGCTGAATCCAACCGTGTAAAGATCATAAAAATTGAATCACTGGATGCGGAGTTTGTTAACTTTAAATTTTAATATTATTGTTTACCATAAAATCATATGACTACTTTACTAAAAATGGCCAATTTTTTGAAATGATTTTGTAATAATTTTAAAATATTACAAAAATACATTTAATATATCAAAATGTTTTTATTATATTTTTATTATTATTTTGTAATTATATTGTATCTAGGTCTATAAAAATAACTCAAAATAATATCACAATAATTTTTTAATATTTTTGTTATTATTTTTAATATTTTAATCTTAAAAATACCTCAAATATATCTTGATATATTTTAAAAATTTTACAAAATAATTGCACAAGCCATTGTATCTAGATCTATAAAAATATTTCAAAAAATTGGCTATTTTTAGTAAAGTATGACGTAATTTTGACTATTTTGACTTTTGGAGAGGTCTAAGTCAAAATCATTTTGACCATTTTGACCATTTCAAAGGTTGAAATTAACCAATTTCAGTTTCATGTATAGATATTATTTCCTTAAATCATATTAAAGTTTCATTTATAGCTAATGACGAAAATAATATTAAATATGTATTACATAAATTAGTGGAAAATATTTTCAATTCTGTTGCAGGAAGTACAAAAAGTTAAGTCACCAAAGATATCTTGCAATGTAAAGATCTATACTTTTATATGGAAGTTTGGAAATCATATATCTGCTTGCAGGCATTCCGTCTATTCTGCAAATCTTAAATAAAATAAAGAAGAAACAACCCGTTCATAAGTCAAAAAAAAAATAATAGAAGAATATCCTAATATAAATCTTGAAGATTTAGATTTAATTCTCCAGATCTCGCCAAGAACTGATATACCATTTGACAGTGTTGGACTATGACCTAAAATAATCTATATGACCTCTATGACTGGTTATAGGTCATTTGGTCATTTTAAAATTATCTAATCATATGACTTTGGTTATATATTATTTACCAATCAAATTTTAGTAAAATTTTAATATTAGATTAATTAAAAGTGTAATTCTGGCCAGAATTAAAGATCAGTATCAAAATTTCCTTTTTTGTAATAATTGTGTAATTTAAAATTCCAAATTTCATAAGAAATAAAATTGTCTTTTTAGGAAATTTGTGTAATATCATGTGATATAATTTTGCAAATTTTGTAATTTTGGCCAAAATTCTTAATTTCAGCCTAATTATGACCAAATGTCATATGACTATTAAGTCATAATACATATGATCAAAGTCATTTCAAAATTTTCATATAACCTGGTCATTGTCCATCACTGCCATTCGACGCGTCTCGTCAAGACGAATCCAATGATATATGACTTGACTTTGTACGATCACTATGTAGATGGATGGCTATTCGATTTTTCGCATTTTTATAAAAATCAGATTAAATCAAACTGAACTGCTAGTTTTTCAATTCAGTTCTTACGAATTTTGGCTCTAATCCAAACCGTCTATAATCCAGACCAAACTGACCTATTTAGAGCTTTACTAGAACTCCGAAAAATACATATGGAAGTCATAAATGATCGGCAAGATTTTGGCCTAAAATAAGCAACTTTTCAGGGCCAAAATTATGATAATGCTAGCCAGTATCAAAACAGACAATAAAATTTAGGCCAGTACTATCTAAAAAAGGCAAGATTTTCATGAAAATTTAGGTTCTTTTTAAGCAAACTCAAATGTGACCTTTTTATGTATTTTTTGGGGTCTTGCTTTACTTTTATTGTAATTTATTATAATAAACATTATATTATTAAATGAAAATAAATTTCTAAAAATAAATTTCTAAATATATTTTCATTAATTTCATGTAATTATTATATTATTTACTAATTTGTAATATCTTTAGGTTTAATTTTAAAAAAAAAGCAAAAAATAAGAAAAAATGTGTTAATATTGTTTTATAATATAATTTTATAATATATATTATATTACTTATTATATAATTTTAAAAAACCAAAAACTAAAAAATAAAAGATAAAAAAATGTATTAATATTATTTTATTATTTTATAATTTTATAATTATATATTATACTACTTATTGCATAATTTTAAGAAAAAGCTGGTTTGTTTTATTTTAATAAAATTTATATTAAAAGAATATTTTTAAAGAAAAAAAAGAATATTAGTAATATTTAGTGTTCCGTATGAATCAAATTTTTCCTCTAAAATTTGATTTAATTTGGACTTGATTTGGACTTGATTTGACCTCCAAAAATTATTATCTCAGGATTTAGTGATTCAATTTTGATCTTTTTTTAATCAATAGGTCTCATTGCTCTGATCAAAATTAAAAAAAAAATCATTGAAATTGGACTACTAGATCAAAGTTATTCGCAAAATACGGTTTTATTATTCGGAAGCAATCAGAGTCACACTATGTCATGAATCAATTTGTACAGAACACTAGTAATATTTTTAAATTTAAAAATAATTAAATCCTTTTTTTAATTTATAATTTTAAAATTTTTGGCTAAAATTTAAATATAAAAATACTTTAAAATAAAAAAAAAATATTTTTAATATAATAAACAAATAAAATTTTTTTTAAAACAATTCATTTTTACCAGTTTTTACTGAATAATTTAAATAATTTGTTTTTTTTTTAAAAAAAAAAAATTTAAAAAATTGATTATTAAATATCAACTGATCAGATCAGTAAATTGAATCAGTAAGTCACATAACTATTAACCAATATCAAAACTTATTTTTTTTAATTTTTATTTTTATGGATAGTTCAGCTTTTTCAAGTTGTATTGATTATTGGCTCAAGCTTTTTAAACTAAACTTATTATATAATTTAAAATATAATTTCTTAATTATTATATAACTGTAATTGCTAATTTTTATGTAATAAATGAAAACTATTTACAATAAAATATTTACATTGGTCCAAACTACTAATAAACTTATTAAAAAACACTTCTTTAGCTACACCATATAGTATTTTTATAATCATCCCATTTTTTTCAGTGTGACTACTATATAGGGGGTTGACTGTATATTCTAAACTTTATATTAGTTTATTGTCACAGAACAAGTAATTTTTGTTAAGAGTGTTAAGATCCGCGCCAGAAAAAACATAATGCTGGGCAGAATTATAATTAGTAACTGATGGCACTATAAATCATGTGACTCTAATTATTGTAGTATTTAAAATCTGTAAAATCAGATATTTAAATTTACAATCCTAGTGCGTTTCTGAATACTTTGCTTTGAGTACATATCATATTATTATGACCGATACATTTTGCAGTGTATTATCGATCAATGGATCTCACTGATTTCTCAGGAAAGGTTTAATGATAATTTGGGTGACTTACTGTGATTGTGATAATGGTAGTTGCTAATTTATAATTAAAACCTTTTTGCGTAGAAATTAATTTTTTTTTTCATAAATACCGGTGACATTCGTTCGCAAGGTAATCTGACTTTTGGCCACATTATTAATTGTGACACAGTAAACAAACATACGAGTCACAATCATATTGACCGTAACGATTATGGTTGCAATTTGGTTTATTCTTCTTGTTCTGCCATAATGGGACCAGCCGAGACCAGAGTCCATCATCATTGGATCGCTGTAACTTTCACCATTTCCGGCTCTAATGGATCCTGTTGGGGAACGTTGAGTGTTGAGCATGCACAGTTTAATAATCAACATTATTGGTTCATATACTCAAGGAGACACAATATATATGATATAAATAGAAAATTATTTATTTATTTATATGTTGCAATTTTTATATATAAGCCGCGGCATCTATTTTTGTAAGCGCCGAAGAAATGAATATTTATCCGATTTACGCCACATAAATTAATGTTTATTTGATTTCTGAACTTTACATTCACAAGAATTTATTATATATGAACGATATTCAAAACAAATTAGAGTAAAAAGAATTTTTATTTATTTATTTTTTTTTATTATGAAACGAACTGAAGTGTAAATATATAACGTGATTAATAAAAATTTCCAAAGGTTGATTGGTTAAAAATCATTTAAAAACTAATAACATATAATAACATATATGTAATACGAAATTAAAAGAATCTAGAATCTATAAATTATGTATTACATAAAAAAGCCTTTAAACAATGTAACTTCCTTTTTTAAAAAAAAGCATGTGGATCTTTATTTGGTTTGAATCGTAAAAATTTTGTCAACTCTTTGCGAATTTATATAAAAAAAAAGGGTAACAATAATAAATGGCATTTATTTTATTTACTTTGGGGATAAAAAATGATTACACGTGAAAAAATTATTAAAGATTACATTTGTTTAGATTTTATTATTATTAAAATTTATTTTTGTTTGCCTTAATCTATACAAGAAATGGTTCGATCGAAAACTAAATTTCAATGGAATATTCAAAAATAATAATTACGATATTATGTTATAAGAGATGAATTCAAACTTGATCAATTATGAAAACATGAAAAAAATTAGTAAACAAAGAAGTAGTTTAAATTGTTGCTTGGCATATTTTATATTATATGATCAGCGCAGCGATTTTCGGGTTTTAGTAGAATTAATATATAAAGGAATGAATTATGGTCTTAATTACTTTAAATAGTTAAATAATGTTTAAGTTTTTTTTTGTCCGTTAAAATACCCAAAAAAAAAAAATTTCGATGCTTATGATTGGTATGTGAATGTATGTGTATGTGAATTTCTAATTGACATCTGACTCACAAATATGAATAAAAATTCATCAAAAAAGGAAAGTATGTAAGAGAAGAATTATGTCACTATTTTGATATTTTGCAGTATTAAAAGAATGCTACGCCATAACAATTATGTTATTTTGGAAGTACAAAAAGTATAAAGTCAGCATAATATTATCTAAATTAGAAAAAAAATAGAACACAGCATATGCCATCTTGCAGGAGTAAATGATTTTGTAAGCAGAAAACGATCAAAAGTTTTAGTTCAAATTCGTTTTATGCAATTAAGGAACCTTGTTTTTTTTTGCGGAGTTGGCATATTTTACGTAATATTTTACTTGCCGGGAATCCTGGGAAAAAAATAAAATGGTATAATGGTTAAAAAACCAATGAAATTTCCGATGTTCCAAATTTTTTTTTGTGTTGCCAAATCCTATAATTAAATATTTTACACTACATCAATAATATTTTATTTTTAATTTAGAATTTTATTCTATAATGAATTTGGATTGGTCGTTTAAAAAGATAATTTTAATAATATGTTTGAAAAATATATTTTTAATAAAAAAAGGCGTATTATTTAATTTTATAATTGTATCACAGGCAACAAGCCAACTAAACATTTTTGTGTGCACAATAGATGATTTGTATATTAAAAGGGAATATTATTCTTGATTCTTAATCCGGAACTGTTCTACGAATTTAGTTTTATAAAAATATTTTTTTTTGTGTAAATAAAAAAATCAAGTTTTAGGAAATTTCTTCTCAAAGAAATGAACTCCAAAATTATATTAGGAAAATGGAAAATTTATTCATAATACTAAATTAATCTAAAATATCACAGGATATTATGTCATAGGTCAGAATTCATAATCGAGACCTTAGCGATTGGAGGTTAAATAAGATTATTGCTTTTGATAAACATTAAGTGAGTAATTAAATGGTTACACAGCCTTAATACATATACGTATCGTTCATTATCAATAATTTATGATTATACGCCTTCTATGTATAATTACCGAGTTCAAGCGCATATACAGTATATACAGTATACATGTATATATATATTTTCTTTTATCAGTCATCTTTATCAATCTAATTATTTCAACTATAATCTAATCGATAATTGAAATGTTTCTATGGTAAAAAAAATTTTGTAATTTTTTCACTCTTAAATCTTACAAATTTTTTCTTTATTGTATGTTAACACGTGCGAAAAAATATACAGAGCATTTTAAATGAGATTAATAATATGCAACTTTCGCAGAGAATTGTGTTTCTTCTAAATTTGGATAAAAAGGGAATATGTTTGATTGAAAATACAATATACATTATGAAAATTCTTTACTTGATTTAGCTTTGTTCCGCTGCATAACTATCGAATCTTTTTGGGATCAATCACAAAATATCACGGAAATGATTTTCGAAGAGTGTAACAAAATTAAGAATAGTGACACTTGTAATGCTTCGTTTTACATAAAACTTGCATCAAAAAACCTTACACTAATAAAAGATAAACATAACAAATTATTTTCGGCTATTCCACGGAGAGTAAATATGTTAGATTGGCGCATTCTTTTTTAAAATTCAATTCTTTTAAAATTATAAATAGACGTTTAGTTTCAAAAATAATCTCGTTTCAAAAAAAAAATTCATTCTCAAACAAAAACCCCTAAATATTTCGAATTATTAATGTTCAGGATTCTTTTTTTTTTTAAAAAAAAAAATAATGAAATAGTGGAAATTCCAATACTTTTTCCGAAATTAATCCAAATATTTTATAAATATTATTCAAAATAGATAAATTTATACTTGAATTTCTAAAGAATGGTGAAGACCAAGAAGATTATTATGTGAAAAGTACGGATGGTCGTCCATATAAAATACAATGGCAAAAACCACATGAAACGGTTTCAAGAGAATTATGGAAGAATAATACACTTGGAAAAAATTATCAATCAGCAAGACATCGTAAAGATAGTTATAATGATTCTAATAAAAAGCATCATAGTTTACCTGTACCTTCTAAGAAAAAAGTTGAAGAAAAACCAAGACAAAGGGAAATTGTAGTGGATCCAAGAAGATTTGGTATGGTCGATCCTTTTACTTTTTCTGGTAAAAATTTTACAATGGATAATAGTGCTTTGGATTTTGCTTCTTATTTCGCTCAAGAAATACAAAAAGAAGAAGAAAAGAGGAAACAAAGAGAATCAGTCGATAGTAGTATTAAAAGTGTTAATTCTACTAATTCTACCGATTCAGTTGGTGAAACTACTAATAAAGGAATCATAAGGTCTCGCCGAGAAAGTCTACAATCCATGAGACAAGATAGTAGAACTTCTCGTCGTGAAAGTCTACAATCCATGAGACAAGATAGTCTTCATGAAAGTCAACAACCTGTAATACAAGATAACAGAACTTCTCGCCGAGAAAGTCAACAATCTTTTAGAAGAGATAGCAGGGCTTCTCATCAAGAAACAAATGTCGAACGTTTTCAAAATATATTACCCTCAACACCAGAACATGAAGAAACTGATACTTCTTCTTTAATTTCTATTTCTAATAAACCTCCTCTTCCTAAAAAATCATCTTCAAGATTTCGAGAAAGCAAAGTTCCTGGAACTTGTTTAACATGTAGAGGAAAAATCGCTGAAGGAGGTTATTGTACACAATGGTGTCAACCTTGTGAAAGTCGAAAATTTGAAAGAAAATTTGGAACTTGGACAAGTGGAAGTGATGTTATTGATACTTTAATTTTAGAAAGTCAATTGGGCGCTAAAAGTCGTTTTGATTATTTAGAATGGATACCTTTTAATAGATTTAAAGATGTTCAATTAATAGGTTCGGGTGGTATAGGTAGTGTTTATCAAGCAATTTGGTTAGATGGTCCTAGGGAAAAATGGGATAATAAATCTAGACAATATATACGTTGCGGTGAATGGAGGGTTGCTCTAAGAAGTATAGATAATTCTGAAAATGTCGCTTTGGGCTTCTTTGATGAAGTATATATATATTTTTTATTTGTTTTATTCATTCATTTTATTTAGTTATTTAACCGATTTTTAACTTTTATTTTTTCTTCTATTTAGTTAAAAGCTCATCTTTGTTGCGAAAATAATAGCGGAAATTATATTATTCGATATTATGGGATAACACAAGACACCGAAACAAAAGACTATATGATCGTCGTACAATACGCACGTAACGGTAATTTAAGAAAATATATGAAGAAAAATCCAACAGGAATAATATGGAAACGTAAATTAGACATTTTATTTGGTGCAGCGACAGCTTTATATCGTATACATCGTGAAAATATTGTACATCGAAATTTACATAGTGGAAATGTCTTAATAAATTCATATATGACATTAATAAGTGATTTAGGTATATATAATAGAGCTGATAATCATGAAATGGATGGAACTTTTGGTGTTTTACCTTATGTTTCTCCAGAATTATTGAGAGGGAAACCATTAACTACAGCTGCTGACATATATAGTTTTGGTACAATAATGTGGGAATTGGCTTTCGGACGTAAACCGTTTAACGACAGAGCTCATAATTTAGAATTAGCGACAGATATTATTAATGGATTACGTCCTGAAATTATTGAAGAAATACCCGAATGTTATTTAAAATTAATGAAGAGTTGTTGGGATTCGGATCCTTTTATGAGGCCTTCTGCTGAAAAATTATATGGTATTTTAGGCGATTGGCTATGTAAAGCTCATAATGTACCAAATTCAGAAATTGCGATGCAGTTTTCGGAAGCTGAACAACGTAGATTAGAATCTATTAAACAAGGAACAAAATCTTCATCTACTCCAGAACAAATTGAATCACCAGTCCACTCTCCTACTACTTACTCTTCATTTAATAATATTGGTGAAAATGTTCATTCTGAAGCGGCTTTTAAAAGTCGTTACTTAAAATTTGAGAGTTTACAGGAACCAACTATAATATTTACCAGAACGTATCATGCAAGGGAGCATTTAGCTTTACAAGAATATTTAACTGCTGAAACTGAAGCTTATAATGCTAAATATGAAGCGATACAAGCTGATAATACTGAAATAGCAGCTGAGATTTACGAAATTATGCAATACTTGTGATTGTGTTCTTTTTACGTATTAAGTATTTTTAAAAAAATTATTTTTAATGAGATTCATAAATTATATTGTAAATTTTATCACATTATTTTTTCATAATCATTTATTATTGTAGCATATAATATTTATCTATACATTATATTAATTTATATAAAAAGTGAAAAGCTTTATACAATTTTTTTTTTTTTGAGAAGAAAAAGTTTTTCTTTTTGCGCGTCCTTTTTTTCATGAATTAAAAGGAGAAGCATCAACAAAAAAATTTCATGATCACGTGAATTTTAGCCCGCAGTAGAATGCAATGGCGAATAAAAAACGTTAATCATGTAATCAAATTTTTTTATTTGGTTATAATTATATAAACTATAATTGAAGTATAAAATATATTCAATTATATTATAATATTTAGTAAAAATTATTAGTTTAAACTTTAATAAAGTAATAATAATCAGTTTTTTTAATACTTTATATAAATTGTATAATAATAATATAAGTACAAAAAAAAAATCAAAAATAAACACATAAAATGCATATCTTATATCTTATAATTGTTATTAAGGTATACCTTAAACTGTAAGGATTAAAATTAATTTTAAAAATTTTTGAAATCTTAAGATCTGGTGATCATAAAAAGATGAAATCATCAAGGCGCATCTAACAATAGTAAATAATATCTCTGAAATTAAAAATTATATTAATTTTTAAATTTTTAAAAAGATATCCTATTACACAATGTTTATAAAAGGATAATTTTCATTTTATCAGATTATTAAATAATGGTTAATAAATTAAGAGATATATTTTAATTTAAAAAATTTAGCTATAATTTGTTAATCATTTACTTTTAAAAAATCATTAATCAAATTAAGGTTGCTTGCCGAAATTAAGTAATTTAGGCCGAAAGTTTAGGTAATTAAAAATAAATTTGCCGAAATTTATAATGCCGATTATTGCCCGAAAGTTCGAAATTTGACCGAAATTATTGGACGTAATTCTGGCCGGAAAATGATCAACATTAAAAAATTTCCTTCCTTATTTGGATATTTGTGTAATCTTTGTGTAACGGACTTCGCCAATTTTACTGGGAAATAAAATTTCCTTTTTAGGAAATTGGTGTTGAGTCACGTGATATTTCGTAACATTTAATCGTAATTTCGGCCAAACTTTAATTTTGGCCAGAATTAAGTGTTAATTTCGGACTTAATTTCGGAACTGACTTTTTAATAAAATATTAAAAGTATCTTTAAAAAATAAAATTGCGACTGTAATATGATTTAAGGGATAAATTTTTTAATAGTATACCAAAATAGTTATTAATAATTAATATTATATTTTTTACTTTTTTTAAATTAAATTTTTAATATTAAAATTTATTCCTAAATAGTTTTACAGATAAATTTGCCTACAATTTTTTAAAATAAATTATATCTAAATATAAAATTTGTCAATGTGATTTAAATTATCCTATAATTTTGCAGCTATATTAGTCTATATTTTTAGTAGATATAAATTAATTTTTAAAAAATAATATTTTTGTTCATTAAAATGTAAAGTTTTAATAAAATTTAATTTTTGCATTTTTTACAGATTTATAAAAATAATATTTTTTTAGGTTCTATGTAAAAATCAAAATACTACTTCTAAACATTAAAAATTACAATAATAAAAGTTGATTTTTATAGTAAATTCTACATATTCTTTTAAATTTTAATATAATCATAATCAAAATCCCAATGAAATCATTAAAGTTAAATGCAAAATTTTTTGAAATTTTTTGTTATTTAAAAAATACAACTTTTGACACTCTTCTAACCAATAGTTACTTTTTAATCTTATAATATATAATTATTTTTTTGAAATTTTTTTTTAATAAAATTAATTAATAAATTATTTATTAATAAATTAAAAAATAGTATTTTAATAATCAGTAATAATTTTTTTATTATTTTTTAGTTCTATTGGTTAACTAATACAAAAAATATAAATATAGTTGGATTAAAAAGAAAAATTGGTATAGTAACCCTTTTATTAATTATTAATTTACTATTTAAATAAAAAATAATTAGTAAATTGAAATGTAAATTATATAGTAAAATTTATTAATTTTAATTAAATTATTTAAAATAAACTTTAAAATTTTAATTAATTAAAATTGTAAATTAACCAAAAAATTAACTTTGATAATTAATTGATTTTTAAAAAAGTAGTTTAAAAAATATTTTTCTTATAAATTAAAAATTAATATATTAATATAAAAAAATTGTTTTTAAAATTTAAAATATAAAGTTACTAATAAAAAAAATTTATATTAAAAATATTTAATAAAATAAATTTTAATTAAAAAAAAATATATTTTAAACTTTTCCTATTAAAATAAATTTATAATAATGGTTATTTTAATGATAGTATTTAACATCATAATACTGTATATAATTTTATAAAAATTATAGCTTAAATTAAACAAGTTGTATTAATTAAAATTGCTTAGCACTTTTGAAAATGATTAGAAAAAAAATTTGAATAATACTTGTAATATTAAATACTTTAATGTAAAATATAATTATTAAATTAATAAATTAGTTTAGTTAAATTATTAATAATATAAAATAAAAGTTAAAGTAATAAATAAAAAAAATTATATAAATTTTATAACTGTAATATTAAATGCTATAATGTAAAATATAATTTTTGTATTTTAATTTTAATAGTATTTTTGTTAATAATAATAATAATAAATTAATCTTTTTATAAAAGAATAATATAAATTTTTTAATTATTTAATTAAAAATTTTTTATAATAATTAGAAAATTATTTATATATAATTTCTGGGTAAATTTTAATTCTCTAAATAATAAAATCAATAAAAAAAGTAATTTTTTTAAGGAATACTATATAGAAGGATATTATAACTTATTATATATATGGTACATAAAATGAAGTTTATATATATTTTTTTAAAAAATGCTATGTAAATATTATTAAATATAAAATAGTATAAATTAATAAAATAATTCAATTAGATAAATCATCTATATTTTTTTTTTTAACTAAATAGTCTTATATATCGATATATACTATAAATAGATAAGAAAAAATAAGATATTTCCTAATAGATTTATCAAATAGAAAAAAAAAGTATAAATTAAAATATAATTAAAAAGTAACTGAAAAATAGATAAATAATTAGTTAACTAATTATTTTTGTTTTTTTTTTTATAATATAACTAGTTTTAGAAAAACAAATTATCAAATAGTAAAGAAAGAAGTTTTTTTATTAAATAATTACATATTATTTTCAATTTGATAATATTATAATATCTGTAAATTATTAATACTTTGAAGTTTTTTTTGAAAAAATCCCTATATATAAGACAACTGATTTATTTATTAAAAACTTTTTTCATAGATGGAAGTTTTTTATTAAATCTTATATCTGCATATTTTCCAATTTTTGTTCAATATATTTATAACTGTAATATTTTACATTTAAATTACATTTACATCTTTTCATTTATCTAAATTTTTAATTCCTTTTCTTTATTTTACTATATTAAAGAAAGTGTATTTTATCAAAATAATGTTTTATAAAAATCTTTTAAAACTTGATTTATTAAAAATTCTATTTTTCTTTTTGATATATATTCTTTCTTTAGTATTAATTTTTTATTAACTTGCAGTATATTGATATTATTTCTTTTACTTTAAATATATTACGGTATTATTACCTGCTTCATTTTATTTATATCTATTATTTTTTAAACTATAAAAGGATCTTTTTTTTATACTTTTTTTATTTCTTCAGTAATTTGAATTGTCTAGTATATTCTAATTTCCATATTGTAATTATATAATTATCTTTATAATTAATTAAACCTATTTTAGTATAAATAATTCCAATACATTTACTATAATTAATTTTTTATTATTGTAATCTTTATCCTTATTTATTAATAGAGATGCTAATATATATCTATCATTTTTAATTAATAATTCTAATATATTTTATAATAAATAATAATATAACATTATATAAAGTACAAATATTCACTACAGTATGAATACAAAATATAAAAGCTTAAATACTATAGCTTTTTTTATAATTAAAATTTAATATATATTGTAATCTATCTGCTTTTTTCTTATTTCTTAAGTTTTGATTTTATTACTACCAGTTTGCTTAATAAAAGTTAATGAATTTTAAAATAATATTTACTTTTAATTTTTAAATTTATTGGTAACCTACAAAATATACTAATAAGATATTTTAAAATTCTGTATTTAATATTTATCAAAATTCTATCTGAATTGATTATAAAGAGTTTGTTATCATATTTTTTAGTAATATAATCATTATTGGTGAAAACTATCAGTATATCTTTTTTTTTTGCAATAAGTCTATATGAAAAAAAATACATAAATTTTCTTTTCTGATAAAGTGTAACATATTAGCTTCTGAATGTTATTTTATATTTCTTGTCTAAAAAAATGTATAATTAGTAATGATTTTCTTTTTAAAACATCTTATATTTAATTGGTCATCATATTTTTACTTTTTTATGAGAAAAAAGTCCTGCAAAAACTTCTGTAAAGAAGCAAAAGTTTTATACAATTTTTGTTAAACCTTAAAAGAATAATAATAAAAAGTATGTCTTTTTTATAAAAGAACACTTTTATCTTAATACTGAACTATTAGTTTTTTAGTAAATATTCAAAAAAATAACATTTGTTTCTGAAAAAAATGAAAGAATTTTCCAATATTCAATAATTATTATTATCATAGGATCAATACATTGAATAAAACCTTGATTTTAAGATATCATAATTATTATTATTATTATTATTTTTGAAAAAAAAAATTAGAATTTTAGATTTTGAACTTTTCAAACTTTTTTAAATTTAGTAATAAATTATTAAATTATATAATTTTTTTTTAATTAATAAGAAGCATTATTTTTTTATTTAATATAAAAAGTATTTTGAAAAATAATTATAGTGGAAATTCTGTTATGTTATAACTATTAACAATTAATAATTAATTATAATTATTAAAAATGTTATTTAAAACATATTCAGGTGGAGGTTTTTTTTGTCAAACATATTTATCACTTGGAAAATAAC